GTAATGTGGGAGGCACAGGTGGAGAGGGCCTTGTGCCTCCCCTCTGCAGAATGGTTCCGCAAGTTCACAAGGATGGTGATATAGGAGGACACCAAAATAAGGAGAGAGATAATAGAGATTAAACCACTGTTGGCCATCACGATAACCCCCTCCATGAATGTGTCAGTGCAGGCAAGTTTAAATAATGGCTGGAGGTCACAGAAGTAGTGGTCAATTACATTGGGACCACAGAAGGGCAATGGAATGGTGATGAGGATCTGGATGGTGGAGTGAATGAGGCCCCCCAGCCAGGAGCCAGCTACTTGCATGTGACACACTTGATGACTCATGATGTTCATATAATGGAGAGGTTTGCAGATGGCCACATAGCGATCATAGGCCATCACCACAAGCAGAATGATTTCAACAACTCCAAGGAAATGGGAGAAAAATATCTGAGCCAGGCAGCCCTTCAGAGAGATGGTTTTAATCTTTACAAGTAAGTCAGTGATGAATTTAGGGACAATGGTAGAGGAGTAGCAGATCTCCACCAGGGACAAGGAGCTGAGGAAAAAGTACATAGGAGAACGCAGACTCTTAGTGATGTTGACTGTCACAACAATGAGGCCATTGCCCAGCACTGTGGCCAGGTATACGGGAAGGAACAGTAGAAAGCACACCTTCTGTACCTCTGGATCCTGGAAAAGGCCGGTGAAAATTAACTCAGTGACATTATTTTCATTGGCCATGGAGTCAGCTCAAGTGTGTTGGACATCAGATAGAATGAAGGCTAGAAAAAAGTCAAAAAATTTAGCACAAATTAATTTTATTAAAAGCATTCAAGAAAGGACAGACTGTTTTACCATACACTTACTATTAAATCTTTTATTTAGCCAGTATATTCTCATTCAAGATTAAATATTAATAACCTGATGGTTTTATTTCTTTTATATTAGTTTCATTCAATTATTAACAGTATAAATCCACAAAAATGTTGATATACTCATAATCACATAGAAAATGTAACTCAAAATAAGTCCTTCTAACTTTCAGCCAGGTATCTTTCTAATTTATCACAAGGAATTCTAAAGTTAAGATTTCAAGATATATTATAAGTAGATAGATGATAGATGCATATACAGAAACATAGATCATGTGTTTGTATTATCTTCATTGCATTTAATAAGTCTTCCTTTTGATTCATTCCTTTGATACTGTGCTGGTTTGAATTCTTTATATCCCTCTGTTCCTCAGAGAAGTACTACATCTGAAGCATAGACTTGGTAATTAATAGAGAGTACACATTTGTTAGCTCATGATTCTACAAGTTGGGAAGTACAAAGCAAACTCAGACTCAATGTATTGTGACATGGCAGACATTATATGATGAGACAGACAAACATGACAAGGAAAGCTCCCTTTGGCATGCAGTCTTCAAGTCTGCAGAGTGATACATGCGCAGAATAAGCTGTGGTGATTCAGTTACAACCAGAGATCCAACTTCGAAAACCACAAACTCACCAAGAAACAAAGCTACACTTTCTCAAGAAATAATTTTCCTGTTGTTTCTGCCCTTTCTCAATGTCTTCCATGGTGTTTTCTCTCTCAGTTGTCCCAGACCTCACTATACTCAAAGTAGAATCTGCTACTGTTGTTGTTCGGTTGCTTAGTTGATTTTTGTTTAGGTTAGCTGATTTTTGGAAGAAAAAAACCCATAAATTTAGATGGGTATGGAAGAGGGAGAATCTGGGAGTAATAATAGGGGACTGGAAAAGAATATGTTTAAAATATGCTCTAGAGAGGAATATCTCTAGATATTTGCACTGGTATGGATCTTGGTTTATTGATAAAATTTAAGGTCAACTCTGTTATATGTATATTTTTCTCTTATTTAGGGTATGATGTTTTTGTGAAGCTCATTTAAAAATGCAATGCATAATTAAAATTATGAATTGAATGATAGTCATTTATAATAATGAAAATTTTAGTCATGTTAGTTAGGTTTTCTAGATATATGGAGATATATTTCTGATGAATAAGTATTCTTCAAATCTTTCAAATCTAGGAATATTGCATTTAAAGTATTTTAAGAACTTAGGATGTTTTATGACAGTGAGACATGTCTGCTTATGGCAGCACCAATTACTTCAGAGAGGTTGATGGGCACTGTATGAAATGTATTAATTAAAATAAATAAGAACTAAAACTTTTGAGACAGCAGAAAACATCTTTATCACTGACAAAGATGATAAGGGAGATGGAAGTTTATGTGTATTACAAATAATCTTGACAAGGTTTAATCCCTGAATTAGGAAAACACACAAAGTTGCATAGCTTCTTGTGTTTCCTGGATCAGTTCCCCCAACAGGAAGACATTTGACATCTGATAACCTTTTTTAACACAACCTGCTCCTATTCAGCTCTGTCTTTTCTACATTTAATCTTTTCTCTCTCTCTGTCTCTCTCTCTCTCCCCCCTCTCTCTCCAACCCCCAAACATTTAGCAATTGAGAAATTCCTCGTCTTTCCTCACAATGACTGACTCACCAAGAAAAATGAAAACCAGAAGGAGAAGTCTATAAAGTCACACACCAGCAGATGGACATGTAGTTTATACAGACAGGGGTAGAGAAAATAATGAGTTACCTGATACCTCTTGCAGCCTGTAGACTCTGCTTCTTACTTCAAGACTCTTAGCCTACCTTCTGGTCAGAAGACCTGGTGTGCTCCTTGATCCCAGGTAGAGCAGTATTTAGACCACATGGACTTAAAATAAATTGTCTCTAATTCATCATAAAAATTCTCCTCTCCCATAGAACATGCTATGTCTCAAGGAGAGGTTGTGCTCTGGGGAAAAATCTATATAGGGAAGGAGCATCAGATTCCTCCTTACAGATTCTGTTTTCTTTCAAAGTGAAATCCCTTGACTAATATCATCACCGAGCAGATTTCCTACTGAAGACCCAAACCAAGTCACACTCAGCAAAACTACACTAGGAGTGTTTTTTACACAAGTTAGAGAATAATTTATAGTAATCTTATTTTTCTTCTGAATGGGTGAAGTCTGAGAAAGGCGAATTGATTCCTCAAAACCCCACTCTGTTCTTTATTTGGTACTATCACAGGAAACAATGCTCTCTCCAAATCATTAGGCTTTGGGGATATGAGGTGGTAATGTTACTGCCTTTCAAAATTTGGATCTGTCCCCTATGGAGTATTTAGAAAATAAAGTGATGACTAAGACAAATCACAAGGAAAGGAAATATTTAGACTTACAACTTTAGAATAAAAATAAAAATTCATGAGACTAGGAAATTCAGTGGTAATAAAATCCTGCTTTGATGCCTCAGTCATGTCTATCCACACAATGTCCAAAGGTTGTGATTAAATGCTCAGATACTTGGACTATTTATGATGAATGAAGCCACACATATGATCAAGAGACCGACTTCCCCATGGAATTTCTTTGACCTGTAGGAAAACTTAGCCAAATAAAGAATGACTTAGGGAAAGTTTCTAAATCTTTTGCAATCATTTTAATGTCATTTCAATATTGCTTTACAGCCAACAAGGAGAAGGTACATAAAAAAGTAAAGGTGATAGGGCTTATTGCCTATGGTTTCTGATTGATATAGCAGAATTTTTAAAAAGGAAGAGAAAGTCCTTGTGCATTAGGTTTTTATCAGCTACTGAACTGAGGACAGCCTATCCTTTTTACCACTTTTATATAAAACTATAGTGTTGATTGACATTATTATATTTTCATCTTCTCATTCTCACATTTGCATATTTGTGTATAACATACATTATAAAACTACTTGCCCCCCCTATCCTTTTGCCTCTGTATCTGTGAATGATAGTTGACTATACCCACTGAATATGTCAAGAATTGGACTCTGAAAGATAACCTTCATCAACTCATCCATTCAATAAATAATCCAGCAAAATCTCTAGCTTTAT